AACTAGCCAACGTAATAAATAGATAAATGGATTTCCGATAAATTAATTAAAAAAACAATTAAGTCCAATTCTGTGTAAACACTTTAACCTTTGCAGAAAAATTTTAGAAATACAACAGTCGTAAAGAATGATATTTTTGTGATAAAAAAAAATAATAATAAAAACATGGATTCTAACTGCGAAATATCGCAATTTAAAACAATTCTTACTCAACACTTATGAGTGAACGGATCGACCATTGGGGAAGGCATTTCTCGGTAGCTTATTTAACCATTGGGTTAAACATTTCGAGTTTCTGGACGACCTCCAGAGGTTTACATCCGCGTACGGTTTTAAGAATAAGACCCAGAAAAATATCGTATGGATAACTTATTATGGGTCACCGATAAACCCATGCACGAAATCTTGAATTTTAGCCGAACCTCTATAAGTTTTTTCCCTGCACCGATCCGAGTTAACCTGCTTTCACTGTAGTAATTATAGTAGCCTATGTAATGAATATCCGTGTTACCCGCCCTTGATAAAATGGAATATGGTGCTTTAAATAATAATTACTCTATGTATTAATTTAGACAAATCATTTACAATCTTTTCTAGACTTAATTTCTGTCTCGGACCATACCCCGTCTTAAATAGATATTTCGGATATCTCCGATGTTTCTCGACTGGCGAATTGAACTGTGAATATTCCTCGTTGATCCTCGGGTGTTATAAGCTGATATCGTAATTCACAACTACGATATCAGTGTACTGTACAGTACATCTCCTATTTCGTGGCACTCCCGTTTTTCCATCGAGTGCCGCGAAATAGAGCCGAGCAGCGTCGTAACGCTTTTTTATGTGTATTACTAAAAGTACGGAAAACGGAAAAAGTAAAGGTGCCACAAGAAAAAAAAAATACCAAATTGAGGATGCCACCATAAGAAAAAAGTTGAAAATGTTTATCCTGAGCACTCGGCCATTCGGCCGTCAGCATATGTAGTCTTTATTATTTTTAAAAAAATAGTTTTACATAATGTGTAAACGTATGTTTTAAAATCTTCGACATTTGAGATTTATTGAATTTTGGATTATTTGGGTTTTCCCGCTGTTATTAAGATGAATTCAATAACTTCTCATAAAATTATGTTCAACTTTATTAAATGTTTTAAGTAATACTGTATTCGTTTAAATTCATTTCTACTCGAAATTTTGTTTTTGAAAATGATTATTTTTAATCTAATTAATTTCTGTTGATGAGATAGATATACAGTACTTAATACTATAAGTATAGTATTATGGGGTAAGCATAGAGAAGTTATTATTTTATAAATATGCGATACGAACCGAAGACCACTATGATAATTGGGTATGTAACGATCCAATTTTTTTCTTTCTTGATTGTTTACTTAAACTTTTATTTCAGAATAATCAGATAACTAAATTTTTTTATTACTTCGTGATAAAAATGCAAATTTCTGACTCCGATTAAACACTAAACTATAATTTTTTTCCTTGATTGGGCTATGATTGTTTCTTTCATTTAGTTTATATCTAAATTGCAAATTGCAATCGATAAAACAATGTGTTCCCACAACATTAGCGCAGCATTAGTTACGTGATTTTTCTCTAAACAAGATTTTATGTTTTACCTTCAGTTTTTGGGTTTTTTTTCCCAAAATGGACAAAAAGCATGGCAAGATTGCCAACACTGTTTATTTAAGTTACCAATATTCATCATTTGCTCGAATCAGGTGTGCATTACTTGCGAGTAGGTAAAATATTCCTTAGAAAATAGTGTCAGTTTTTTTATACAGAAGAATGCATTAAATTTAATACATAATATGAAAGTGTATAATGTTAAATTTCATAAAATGTTACTTTATTTTTTCTTAAGCAAATGTTTTTTAAGAGATTTCTCTAATACTGTACTTTCAAACACTTATTTCTAAATGAATGCTCATAAATGCTGTGATTGATTGGTTAACATTCAAATCAGGTGATCGTGCAGGCCACTGGAATTGAAATCGATCAAGCAATCTATTCCAATTCCATGCTCCCATGGTTACTCATCCATTTCGTTGTTGGCTTGGAGGCGTGACACGCAGCATTATCCTGCTGAAACAAAATTTTTTCACTAAGAGGCCAGGCAAATGCTGTAAACTGCGTGTCAAGAATACTAATATGTTTTTGAGTTCATTGTTCTTAGTACAAAGACTAAGGCCAGATGGCCGAGCGGTCGAGGTGGCAGCCCACCGCTCTGGAGGACCCGGTCTCGAATTCGAACGGGTCGAAAAACCCCCAGGAATTTTTCGGGGTTTTTTCGGGGGATGGTCCGTTCGGATATGTCGGGCCCCGTCCCTCACCACCCGGCAGCCCCACTGTGGGCCTGGCCGAACCCATAATGGGCTTGCAAAAAGAGGCCCTCTTAGTGCCCACAGGGCAGAAAGAGTTAAAAAAAATAATAAGTACAAAGACTAAATCTGTTTTTTTCCGCTTGCCGAAATTGTTGCCCAAACCATAAGAGAAACCATTTCGGTCTTAACGATTCATTTGGACCTCACGTTGTGATCTGAGATCGTGCCAATAATAGACCGTATGCCGTCTGGACCAATTAAATTAAAACGTTTTTCATCGGAAAACAAAATTGTGTCCTTCCGATGCCGTCCAAGATCTATCGCTATACGGTTTTCATGCACTCTTTTCTATGATGTTGCGTCAATGCAGGTTTTGCTTTAATGTCACATATCTGGAATCGTGAAGTACGCGAGAAACGGTTTGCCGTGATGGATTCTTGGTAGGTGCGTAGTCATTTCACTCGCGGACATTTTTTCGGTGTCATTTGTCAGGTAGACGACTCTTCTTACGCCTCTTGTCGACAAACTCTGTTTCGTCCTGGACATTTACGATCAGCTCGCCAAACTCCTCGTCGGATAGCACGTTGAGTTGCTTGTCTTTATACGTTTAAGTTTTGCAACTACTACTATATTTAACGTTGCGACCATGTAGCATCGTGCAAATGCCATATTTCTGTTTCAATTTTTGCAAGCGCTTTCCCAAGTAACGTTTTCTTCTTAAAGTTAAAGCATTTTAGTTAAGCATCTACTCTTGTAAATAATACCTATCTACATAGCAATATACAAATTGGTAAAGTCCAATTGTTTGTAACTGGTTTTATATTTACGAACAGCTTAAAATTTGTAATTTTTGTTTTCTAACGTTAATTTTTGAAATAAAAGACATATTTCTACCATAAAACGTTTTTTCCGCTGTAACACGTTGCCTTACGTCATCATCCATTTAATAAAAATTTTTGTATGTTTAAAGTAACAAATTTTGTTGGTGGTCTTATAATTTGAGCAGCGGTGTAAAGCGTGTGCGCGTTGAGTGTCGCGTTGTTGCTCGAATAATAATAAAGTGAAATTTAGTCCATTAATAGTTGCGCCTTCTCAAAGAATAGAAATAATAGTCACACTCTAATAAACAGCTCAGTTAGACAGCGCTGTGTTTATCATAAATAAATATGATCTATAAGCTACATAAGTACTGTATTACGAAAATTTAATAATCGTATGAGTCATTGCATATTTAATCAATAAAATTCTCAAAGTAATAAATTAAATATCATAATTTACATTCGTGTGTTATATCGCGTAGGATTTGCCGTAGGCCAATTGCTCGCCTTATGTCGTAACTAGCAAAGAGGTCACTGATAGGATGCAAATATACACGAGTAGGGCGCTCTGATTGGCTAAATGAATATAAACAAAGACGACCGCCTTTGGTAGATTATAAACGTTTTGAATCGTAAACTATATATTTACATCGTTTTTTTAAATTTGTACTTTGTACTAAAAATAGTACGATAGATGCCCGAGCGATATAACGAGATGGCGATATACAGGAACGTGCTAATCGGAGTATTACTGTATACGAATAAAATTCGAATTTTTTAACCTTATTTGTTAATAAAAAAGTAATAGACGTGAAAATAATTACTCGAACAAAATTATTTTTCTGATAATCCAATAAAACCAATCAAACTATTGATTTTCTTACGGTTCTTGCATTTCAACAGTTTTTAAATAATATTTCATTATAAGGTAACGACAGAAATGTTTTTTTCCAAGCGAGAATTTTCAATTTCCACGTTTAAATCTTAAAAATCGGCAACGCAATTACAGAAATATGAACTTAAAAGATGACGGTATTCACCGGTTTGCTATTAGAAAAGTTTGTGATTCTTTTCACTTAAAAAGTAAATTAGATTTATTTGCTTCTCAAGAACTTTTGTGTTGGTCCAATAGTGATGACGATAACGTCAGTTTCTTCCGACATCGACATACGGAATTTTTCATTTTCATTTCTCCCCTAATCGATTCATTTATTTTCCCGAGTTTTTCTATACAGTAATACCCCGAACATACGCGATAGGTGGGACCGAGCGATAACCGCGTAAGTCAAATTTGCGTAAGTTGGGGTATAATTTCGCAATTTGTGTAAAATCCAAATCGGATGTATGTAAGCTAATAAATGTTCTCGTTAATCTTATCTCGTCTTTTGATTCGTTCACGGTTACAAGAAATCACCACAATATACTTTTTCCACGGGCCGAACCAGAGGCTGCCCTAGGAGGATTTTGAGATGGTGCGAGATCTCATTGTGGTGTCAGATTAGAGATTACAGATACATTTTTCACATTATTATGCTTTATCAACACTCTACGCTGCACTTAAGAGATCTGTAACTCTAAACGCGTGGTGAGTTGTTGACATTTTTTTCAGGCGTCAGAATTTTTCATCGAGCTATTCGGACTTCAGTAGCTAATATTGAAAGATTGATCGCGGGCCGCATAAATTCATTAGACGGGCCGTATGTTGGCCATGCCTGAACTAGACTATCTAAGACCTACCTAACTAGTTCATGTATTGAATTTGAATTTTTATATTTTATTTAAAACAATTAAGTTATAACTTACGTATATTTTTAAAATATTTAATTTAATAAAATTTTAAGCCTAATTTTAACGTAGAGAAATACTGTATAATCAGAGTACTTTGTAATTACGAAAATGCATTGTAGATTTTTAACATTCACAAAATATGGAGTAATAGTTTATTAAGGTACAGCGGGAAGGGGAGTGCGAAGATTGCTCAAGTATTTCTCCAGAATAATTAATTCGTACAGAAATCCGTCGTTAGGTCTGATTAATCGGGCGGACCTTAAAGTAGTCAGGGCTTCTTCGATATTCATTCCTTGTTTTATCATCAAATAGGCACAGACGATGGTAGCCGATCTAGAGATTCCCATCACGCAGTGAACCAACACTTTGCCTCCCGAAGTAATTGCTCGATGAATAAAGTTTGCGCTTTGTTGAAAATAAGGAAAAATTCTCTGCGAAGGCAAATCGTCCAAGTTCAGTCCCATGTAGTTAATGCGCGTGTTGTGATAATAAACTGCTCCCGTGTTGACGCGCCCCGATCTGTTTCCGTGCGCGGCATTCAAGACGTGAGTGATGCCCAAAGAAGCTAAATATGACCTGTTCTTGGCCGCGGAAGCATTTCCTAGATAAATATTAGGATAGACTTGATCGCAGTCGGTAGGAGGACGGGGATGAAATAGGAGAAAGATCAAAGGAGATAGTCTTCTTTTTCGAGGTCTCACAGTTATAAATATATGCATGATGCGTCGAAAAATGGTTTCTATTTCATCTCTTAATACGAATTCTCGAGTATTCATTTCGGGTTATTCTAATAAAGAATAAATAAATTCTAAATAATTTGACTCTTCTCGTTTGTTACGAAATCAATTTTTGCAAAAAAGTTGATTTCCATTATTTGTCTCTGTCATCGTTCTCTTTTAATTTGTCCTCTGTTCACTGAAAATAAAATAAATCTTTCTTTTATACGAATTATATTTTATCAATATATTATTTTAAATGTCAGATTATCCATACTTCGAATACACGCCGAAAATCCTTGTTCCATCCTCCATTTATTAGGAAAAGGAACAAATGCGTCATTACATTAAATTTAGTCGCACTTTGCCATTAATATATTAGACCTTAACAAAATTTGGCGTGGAATTGAGTCACGAGTGGCGCCGATGCCAAATTCTGACCCACTTAACCTTGCCATCAAAGTTAATCTTTACAACCTTTGTTGGTTCCGGAAGAGTAGCTTTGACGGACGGCCGGTTGGTGGGGAAGTTACTCAAAACTTGGTATTTCTGCCGATCTTGACCTCTTTACAGACTAAACTTTAACAATCCTCGATTGCACTTCTCAAATCGAAACGTTACGAATTATAGAAAAAGAAAAAAAACTTAACTGCCGGACATCCGAGAGCTTCGGCAATGTAAAAAAGTCGGTAGATGATTTTTTGCACGTAGAACGAAGCGCAGTTTCGGTGGTGAGTGTGGAGCAGTCGGACCTAGCAACAGAGTGGCAGAATTAACGGGAGGGGAAGAAACTATGGCCTACATGGTCTAACTTGTTAGAAAACGACGAGTTTGATTTATGGTATGAGTTCGTGAGTAATGCATCTTTAGTCTCGAGATGATTATCGTCGGCGGTCGTGGGCGTCCGAAACCATTCGAGAATTAACGACTGCATAATTCAACACTCTTCTAGATACTAAATTTCTTTATCAAATCATTAAATTGAAACTGTCATCATTAAAACCGAGCCCGAGCCCGGCTTCAAATTGTTAATAAGATTTTCGACTCACGCCTCTTTTCGAAACGAAACGAATTCATTAAATTTTAACGTCACTTTATAACCTGTAATTTAGTTATCATAATTTTTCTATTCGCCATAATCGCTCGTTTCTCTTTCTGCTCATTTTATGTAAGATAACCCGTAAAATGCAATTTTTCGTGACGGCAGTAAACCGCGAAGGAAATAACACCGAATGGACGTGAATATATTATAAGGAAACATAAAGTGGAAATGGTAATGATAGTGTGGGTTATCTTCGCCAGCACCTGGCTTATAATAAAACCTCGGTTAGTCGCGTCGGGAAGACGATCCGAAGCCGGACGCAAAATTCTTTCGTAAAGTGAAATTTTCGTAGAGGAATATCCGCGGCGTTAATAGAGAGTAACCTCGCCGTACGTAACGTTATTCCCACAAAGTCACCCGGCAAATTTTGCCAACGGGGTCACCGACACGAATTGTTGTTAATTAGAACTTCTCGGAAACAATTGGGTCCAATGATACGTTTTGTTAGTTCGGACGTCGAAAGGATGCATCCCAGAAACGTTTCTTTGTTCTCCTAATAAACGCCACTTTAGAAAACTTTCCACTGGTAATTACGTAATTATACCGCATACGATCTTAATTGCCTTATTAAGAATCGATATCAGGAAATTTTCGATTAGAATTGCGCAGTTAATGTTGGGAAAAATGAAAATTTTCTATTTTATATTATTTAAATAATTGAATTTTTAACAATCAATAGTAATAATTCTATTTATATATATTTAATATACAAACGTCTCAAATTACGCATTAATCGTAAATTCTTTTTAAAATAAAATACGGAAGACACGCGATATCATTAAAGCTGTATTTATTAAAATTATTTTAAATAAAAGTACCGCATTTACGTAATTTTCTCGCTACGCAACTAAACAAAATGTCTCGAAGGGGTTTTTTTGTGACGCAATTACGAGTACAGCGTTATAAGAGGGGACGTCTTTAAAAAAGTGGAAGAAGAGTAGATTAAAGTCGGGACGGAGTTGTCTTTTAAAAGAACTGCTACAAATTAATCCGGAGTGTCGTTTAATTTCCGACCCCACCGCTGGGTAAAAAAAATCTCCGGCCATTATTCAAATATGTAATTACTAACGCGTGCACATTAAAGCGATAAAGCCACGCATAAAAATTGATACGACGGTTATAAAAATGAAAATAAGCAATTACAAAAAATTAATTACTTTTGATGAGGTTCGTTTTAATAGAATTTATGAAAAGTTATCCCAATAATTAACCCGGTTGTTTTTTTCTTCTTCTTTTCTCGGGGCGGCGGCGTAGTTATAATTTATATTCGACGGATTTAAGATCAAATACTCGGCGAATCGATTAAATGTAACGAATACGAACTCGTTTCTTAATTGATTAATTTGTAAAATGAAAGAAATTCGACGAGACTTTTTAAGCCGATCGGAGTGAAGTCACGAAGGAATTAATGATATAAACAGTCTTAAGTAATGTTTAAAATAAAACTTATCCTACACGCTATTGTCTCCGTTGTTCTTTCGAAGGTTGTCGACTATTTTTATAATGACGTCATCTATAATGGTTATTTAACGTGTTAAAATAATGTTAAATCCCTTCTGACCAGCGGTTTTTATTCCGTACAAACCACAATTTATAATTATCATACGTTCGTTCGAATTTCCATTAAATTTTAAGTTATTAAGCGGATGAGAGAATTGCTTAATATAAAACTCAAATTCGAAGGGCGTGATAAATGGAACCTTCCAAGTTGTATAACGTATTATCTAAATACATTTTGATTCTTTTCTCTCGATTTTAGGTATTAGTTTTTGTGTTAATAAATGCCGTAAACGATTTAAGCGATTTAGGAACCTAATATTAAGTTGAAATTACGATTATTTTTAAGAAAATCTTCCTTAATGCGATTTATACCATAACTTTTTACACGTACACAATTTTTTTTTCATTTAAATGATTGTAAATAATTCTCCAATTAGTCAGAAATCGACGTAGTCTGATATTCATAAAACATTTTTATTTACTGGATTTAAGAATCCATCGTGTATCACAATAAACAAGAAAGTTTAACCAAAATCATTTAAAATAACTTTTCGTCAAACATCGATTTACACCTTTCATAATTTATTCTATAATCAAAGAAAAATTCATTTCTAATACGCATTATATAAACTGTAGAAAACAATGATTAGAAGAATTTCTCTGTCATAAAATAAGATATTTTTCATTTTAATTTGTGGAAACGAAATCCGTAATTCCAGATAATTTCTACTCGAAACTGGCTTTTCCGCGCGACATTACACCTCGCCGCCAGTAAGAAGCGTCGTTGCAAAAATTGATACCGTATGTATTTCCGATTTCTTTTACGTAAAAACGAAAAATTCCTTTCTTCAGTATTATTATTTTTATAAAATCTCTTTTAATTAAAACATTACGTCGATTTTGATTTAACTTAAAAGATTTTACGTTTCTTTATTGGATGCATCTGTACGATTTAAATACCGTATTATTATAAACCGTATATTCGGACGAATTCCGAAATTTTAAATTGAATATTTTTCATCCGCGAGATGTTTGAAACTAGAGAATTGAAACGATTGATCTTAAATTTATATTCGACTCGTTTAATTTGAAAAATATTGGATCTATTTTTAAATGAATATCTTAAGAACGTTAAAAATAAAGCTTTGATCGTATTGTTAAAACACATATATAAATATTTAATGTACAGTACATATAATTTATGACATTAAAGTGTAAGAAAAAGGAAAGCTATTTTTTGGGTGAGAAAAAAACAGATTTAATGTCAAATATATTACGCTTTATTAAGGTCTCCGATCTCTTTCGCTCTTCGACCCCTTTCTAATATCGATTTCATTCCCCGATCCCTTTCTATATCGATATAACATAAGAATAAATTACGAATAGGACGAAAGAAAAAAAATCAAATAGGAATTAATATTAAAAAGTTTTATTAAATCCAAAACGACATTTTAAAATTGCATTTCGCCTTAATAAAGCTTAAAGATAATTGATATTATCGTTAATTATTTTATTCTAACTGTAGTTTTAAACATAATAAAAATAAATTTTTAATCAGTCCCTGACGACCCGAGAAATTTATCGACCGACCCCTAGGAATTGGCCGGGTGGTAATCCGTCCAATTTTACGAAAATTCCTAATCGCTTATTCGGAATTAATTACGAGAATAATGGATATTGTGGAAGAATCTATAATTCTACGGATTAATTTATAGGGTAAGCAAAAAATTTACTCCGATAGCATCTCGGGAGTTAACCAAACTTAATAAAATATAGGCCTATATCCCGCCTCGACTCGGAGAAAATACAGATTCTCTCAACAGCTTTAATTTCGTTTCCATGCCCTAATTGGATTTACATTCCTTCGTCCAAGTTGATTATTTTACGTAGAAAAATAGTTGGTCGATTTTTCACAAAACGGTAACGAATATCTCCCGTTATAATACGATCGATTAGTCGATGTAAAATAAATGTTCCAGTAATATTAGAAAAATAATCGTGTTAAAAATGTATTAATAATTTAATAAGATTTTCGGATCTTTAATATTTTGTAGTCGTTAGAGTATTTTAAATAAATATCGTAAATTTTGTAATTTACTCTCGCCTCGTTGTTTTCGATATCGAATAACTCCGATACTCGATAAATTAACAGAAGACAACGATAATTACGAAAATATTCTGATTTAGTTACATTTATATACTGTATTATAAATTACGTTTTATTTCGATTCTCTTTGCCAATTCCTTTAAATATTTTAATTTCAGTATTAATTTCTATTAGGCTATTGGCTTCGTTTTTCAACCGAGTACCGTAATTGTATACTAGCTGTAATATTCTTACTTTTTCCTTAACGCCTAAAGTCAAGAAATATGTGTCTTAAACAATCGAGATGCGTAAGTTTTTCGGATTTAACGGCCGTCGGTCGATAGAAATTATTAATCAGAATTTAACGAGTCTGGAGAAATTTTAAATTTATTTTTTATTCGTAAGTTTAAGATTAATCGGTGGACGTTTATGTATAAAATTGATTTTACGGCGCGTTTCGAGAATGGAGAGATTGGCATTTCCAGATATATTTAAATATTTATTAATTTCTATAAATGTAATCGGATGGCGATGATTTTCTGGCAAAAGTTCTACGGGGAAAAATTCCCCGGCCTTAATTAATTTCGAAACCTTTGTACTCGGCCATTGCCGGGGGTCAAATTTGGTGTTTCCGATGGGTGACCGACGGACTCGGCGTAGTAGTACGCGGCGGGTAACGATTAATCTACGAGTTAAAAAACGGCAATTAAACAAAGTTAGGAAGGGTGTTATTTTCGGGATATCATAAACGGTAATTAAAATGGCGACGAAGGAACGAGGAAAGGTATTAAACTCGGGAACTAGGTTTTGTGGCGGATGGGCAAAAGAGCGAGCCGAGGCGGTGTATATAGCCGGAGCCGAGTGGGGTCGGTCGGTGAGTTAAGTCACGAGGCGTGCGGTAGAAGTGGGAGAAAGCCGAGTTCCCAGCTACAGAATATGGCTATTATTCTCTTATTGCTATTTATCGTCGGCGCGGCCTCTCCCGCGTTTGCATTTTGTCCTTACAGATGCCTCTGCTTCCGAACCACAGTCAGATGCATGTTTTTACAATTAGAAAAAGTTCCCGAAGTAGCCGAAGATACCACTATTTTGTAAGTACCGGCCATAATCTACTAATAATCTGTATATTTTAAGAAATCTTCCTCGTTGCTTAATTTTCTTCCGACAGCCGTTCGCGCCGTATTTCCAAAGGGTTAAATGTGCAGAAAACAACTTTTTTCTACTCGGAAAATCCAAATGTCATCGTGTTTTAAATATTAAACAGATACGGTAATTGGAAGAGTAAACGGTTGGAAGGACGGAACTTATCTGCGGTTATCTTGGTCGTGGATTGATTAAGACCTTTCTTTAAATTGCGAAATTTGTGGCCGGCCGCCGGACTCGGTCAATTTTAAGAAAGTTTTCTACACTCGCTTCTGACGAAATAATTTATCGTCCATAGCGTTTTAATGCAAAACGTTTGATCGTTATTATAGTTTATGGTTATATATCTATATTCTTGCGTCAGTCGATACAATATATTTTGTGTGTCTTCGATACTTTTATAATTTCTCTAATTTATGCTGTATTTTCTCGCGTTTATAAGAATTGTCAAACGTCTGTCTCGTCGATGACTACTTTCGCCGTCTTTATCGTAAACTAGCAGACCCCGCCACGCGTTGTTGTGGCTCAAAATGTATCTATTATAAATGTATAACACTTCCCCCGTGGGGGAGAAATTTGTCGAAAAATTTCTTCTTAGTGTACATTCTCTCGACGTACCCTATTAAAACGCGATCAAAAACGCTAAAACCCGCATCTAAAATAGTATAAATAGAAGCAGAGTTCTTCAAAGCATTAATTCCGTCCATCTTCCCCCAGTGGGGGGAATTTCGACACGTGTATTATATAAAAACACGTGCGTATTCGAATGCAGCGTTGTGTCAAAATTTCAAAGGAATCGGCAGGAACAAACGAACATTACATTTTTATTTATATAGATAGATAGAAGATGATCCGCTTTAGTTCATTTTCACAGAAAAGCGTAATGCCTCGCAGAAAAGCAAACTTAGGGCGTCGTACCTGTAGCGCCATCTGTTGGACATAAAAGCCTTAACCTAGATGATATTTTTTAATTTATACGAATGTTTAACGGAATAATATATAGCCTATGTCCACCCCGAAGTTCCATTCTAAATATTGGTGAAAGAATTTTTGAAATCGGATGGGTAGTTTCGGAGATTACCCGCTATATCCAAACTTACTTACTTACAAACATTACCTCTTTATAATATTAGTATAGATATAGATTATTCGACGAACGAATAAATAGATATTTTAATATTTTTTGTTTAACGAGTCTTCAAATTAAGACTTTAGATGAAATAGAAAAACTGTCTTGTAATATTATAAACCTATATTAAATTCTAAAAAATGCCTAAGTACTGTTTATGTTAATTTAAATAATATGGATACGCCACTTGGCTTCGTAGTTCGGAAGATAAAATATCGTTTAAGAATTATATTTTGGTCGACATAAATTGATTTTGTAATCTGTTAGTAATTACGTAAAAAACTCACCCCACGACTTTTGCAATGGAAATTATTTACTTTTTTCCATTCGAAATAAACACGAACTCGACCGACGGTGACTATAAATAATAATTTAAAATAAATATAGCGTATTGTTCCAAATATTGTTACGTTTTACTTTTCGATAATGTAATCCAATAATGTAAACGACAGTTATTTAATTTAATTTTAAAACTAACCGATATTTGTCGTAGTATTTTTGTAATTCGTCTTTGGTCGTCGACGAACGGATCTTCCGGATTGGACATCCGTTGGACCGTTGGAAGTTTCTCTCCAGCTAAATTTGACAGAATATTTTGTTATTCCGAGATTGAGTGGAATATATTCTTCTTCGGTTGTTTTTCACTAAGGATGTTGAATTTTACATTTGTAATCGATTCTATTGATTTTTGGGGTTAATCTTGGCTTTCCGTATTTGAAATATCTAATTTTGATGTCCCGCGAAGTCATAAAATATACTTCTGTAGAATAAAATAAGCGCTTTCTTCTTAATTATAAAATCATCTTTCTTTCGATTTAATCAATTGATTTCCAGTCTGAAGATTTACTTCTATTTTGCTTAAGCTGGCACCAGCATTTTAAGTAAAAGAAAGGGAAAAATTAGATACTTTGCTAATCAAAAGCGTGAATTACAAAAATATTAATGATACGCAATTTCCGCAATAGTACGATTCTAATAAAAGCGATAAAAACGAGACGAAGTATGATTTGGCCGTAAATAATTTAGAAACTATTACGAGATATTTTGATTTTTCCCAAAGTAGCGAAGAATTTTAGTTGGCTCGTTTTAACAATCTTATTTCAAATCGCAGAAAATTTTGTCATTTTTCTTTTCATTTGCATCGCTTCGAACTCCAGATGACGTTCCGAGAATCATTTCCGAAAATAGATAATCGCCCGTAACGCGCATCTATCAGAATTAGAATTCGGTCCCTTTTTCGGATAAATAAAGAGGACGAAGACGTATGAATAAAAAATGTTAGAAATTAAATTTGACGAAATGGGCTACGGACTCCTAAAATCTTATTTAATAGAACCGCACAATATTATATAATTAAGATATTGTCACGTTTTAATTAGAAGATAATGTTGTAGCGAAATAAAATTAATCAAGAAAAAACTGAAATATCGAGAACACAAACGTAAGTACCGTATTAGACCTAAATAAATAGGAACGACAATATTAAAAAATCTCGTGAATTACTGCTTTCTTTTTTCATCGCGGATGAATTTATAGATACGCGGTTGTTCATTTGATTTTAATTTTACAGTTTTATAACTCATCCACGCATTGCCGATTTTTAAAAATTTCAATCGTTGTTCGGAAATTCGAGTTAAGAAAATATTGTCGGATTAACGAAGGAAATATATTAACCCGTACATTTTCACCGAAATAATACGAGAAAGCTTCTTTTCATTTTAAAACAGGAACGACCAATTTTAAGATCTCGTAAACCGTCGAATCCCCCTTGACCTAATAACTTCCTGCAAATTTAGACTATTTTCAGACAAGGATTACTTGCCAAAACCTTTCGCATAATGTATAAAAATTTTTAATGTAAAGAACCTGTTAAATTTTGAATTTCATTTTTCAAATTATAAAATATAGTTTATTTACAAATATATTGACTTTTATATGGAATTAAAGCATTTCGTTAACTCGTTACTGTTATTTATATTATTGTTATAAATCTATATCTTTAATTACTTACGCTTTAAAACGTAAAACTAAAAATGATTAACGTTACGTCGGTCAAACTCGAAATTAACGAAACGTAAAAATTTTCATTTTAATTAAATTAGAATTTAATAACTTGTAATTTTTAAAACAATGATAATTTTTAATTTAACCATGTTTAAATAAATTAAATTAAAAATATAAGAATCTTGAGTTAACGCATACTTTATTCTGTAATTTATCACTATTATTCTATACGCCCACAGTTCATTAGCCGTATATTAATTACGGCTCTTTGGAAAAAATATTACGTATAGCATTTCGTATAAAAACAGCGATATTATAGAAATATTAAGCTACAGATCTTTACAAAGATTACATATATCAGAAAATATATTAATTTATAATTCGGCATTAACTTTATCGTATTGTGTTTAAAATGTATAGCCATAAACATAACTATATAAGAGTTGTTATTTAAAAAATGTCCGATACTAAGTTATTAATATTCTACAGTTAATAACTGTTGTGTAGGTGTAAGGGGCTAAATAAAATGAAACTGCGAGTAGATATTATTGGCTGGCAGCCACGAGAAAAAGGGCTGACTCGGCAGCGAACGAAACAGTCAACAGAACGGGCAAAGCGAGACTTCCTGTAGACGGATCAGTCTGCATTATTGTTGATTTAACCGTAAGGAACGTTACTAAAATAGAAATTTCCAATAAAGGTTTTTCCACATTTAACTTTTTTGTAAAGAAGTTTTTTGGTAGCTCCGAATCGAAATACCCTTCTTCGTGTCTAAAGGTTATATTTCACGATTCGCGGAAAGAATCTTTAATTATAAAACGAAAATTTAGAATGTTTCTTTCCGAAATATTAACGTCAAAATTATAAACGAAATAAGTTAGCATTCGAGTAAGTCATTCGAAAAATATCGCGTGGCTTACTTTTCTATAAACTCTGTTATAGTATCCCCGTATCAACTGACCGATGACGGATAGAGTGTCGAAAATACTCCAGTGGATAAAAAGAGAAAAATTTGTATATTGTAAGCTTTATAAAATAAAATAGATGTTAGCCCGCATTGTTACTCGCAGTATTTTAAACCCGCGCTTAAAATTAATAAATTCTATATTATTAAAGAATTTATTATTTTATTGCTAAAAATATACTGTATAACAAGTACTTAAATAAGTTTACGAACGTTGCCTTTATTATGACAAATCATTCTTTAATACTAAAGTAAGTAAAATAGGATAAAGAAAATAATTAACTTAAACAAAAGAAGAAATTTTAAATAAATTAAAATCAATATAATTTTACTCGATTTTCATTAACGATCAAATTTGTGTTCGTGAATACGACTTTGGAAGAGTCACGAAAATATATTCGTTTTTAAAGAACTTCGATAAAGTTTTTTGAAGACAAAAGCGCATATTTATCGTATCGATAACAAAGTCTCCTTTCAATATATATATAATAAAACACATCATCTCTACATAGTATCGTCAACCGAAGGTAATATTTACAAAAGAAAATTACATCCTGTTAAGAAAGAAATTATAAAAATCATAATTTTAAATATCTTCAAAAATCAAAGAGAAAAAATATACAATGAAAAATAATACAGGAAGTAAAAACACGAGGAGTCGTAAATTGCGCAATCTTGCTCTTTGAATTTATATTCGTCTAAAGTAGAATGAGAATCCTTCAGTAGGTTAACGAAGACGGGAAGTTTAAATCATTATTTGGATAACGCCAACAAAATAATTACGAATAAACTTAAGCGTGTCATTATAAAAATGTTTTTGACGGTTTTTAAACTTTTGCATTTGTATTTTTTCTTTCTGTATCTAGTTTTTCAATCTAGAAGCTTATAACTACTGGCCCAACAACTATTGTCAAAGGTTTTCTAAAACATGCCGCTCTGAAAAGTAATCGAGATGCCATTTTTACGGTTAGTTCAACCGGATTCTCGATCTTCGGTCTTTTACATTTTTTTCTTTTTAACCAGAGGCAAACGGTCAGCACTCGTCTGGAAGTTTGCCCTCGGGTACTTATCATTCTTTCGTTGTTATAAAATCCGGATATTTGGTCGGAGTGACCAGTTCCAAATAGTTTTGCAGCCAATTCTCTCGTTCCTCGATAAAGGCCATCTTTATGACGTATCGATGTATTCCAGGTAGTCGTTCCTTTCGATATCTTTAAAATTATAGACTATCGGACACCAACCTTTCGGGAAAAGATAAATTTGATGTTTTGTATAATCAACTCTATGACTCATTTGTGTAAATCATTGAAAAAAAAAAAAAAAAAATTAAAGGGAAAAAATTAATAGGCTAATACACGCGCATACAATTTTCAATTTTTAAACGCAGAGACTAAACTTTTTTTGTTATTTAATAAAAATTTGACTGGCAAATAATTGTAAACTGGATATACGTACGCACATAATATTACAGAAGAATTTAAGCGCGTGTTTTCTGGTAATTGCTGTAGATTTCCAATAGTAATATTCGATTACTATTTGCGGGTTCTTAGGATTCCGCGAAGATACTTATAAAAAAGTATTTATAAACTATAAGAAGTTTTATTAATAATTTTATTACTTAGAAAATAAAAACGACAGTCGAGTCTTTTCACGCGTTTTTTATTTCTTTAAATTTATAACTTAAAATTTCACAATAGTTCTCGAGCGTAGGAAAAGTTTGAAGATTTAGAAATACAATGACGAAAGCATATTAAATGCAAGCGTTTCGTTGCATCTGTTTTCTAAATTTTTGTAATCAAACTTTTTTTCCAACTAGAAAGTATTCGTTTGCCGTTTGTTCGGGCAGGGAACAAAAAGGTTTGTTAATAAGCATTTTCATTTTACAGTTAACCGATATTCGCTTTTAAAGCATTTTCAAGTTTGTCATTGTCGGCGCCGATATTCAATATTTTAAATAGTAATTTTAATTAATAATATTGGTGCTAATATTTTAAACATTATGCATTTTGCATTACTACTATTTATTTTCTTTTTACCTCTCCCGATGACTGGTAAATGATCTTATGGTAACGGAGTTGATAAGTGAAAATTCATTGACGGTCTATTACTGGGCCATGGGCGTTGATATACAGTATATTTGACAGAAGGGACTTATTCCCTCCCATATTTTTGCACCAGAAAATTGTTTCCTTTTGCAATGTATGTTTATTTCGTACCTAGGACAAAAATTAAAAGTAGAAACCAGTATTGTATTCAACAAATACATCTTATTTTCCATATCCGCTGGAAACCCAACAACGAGAAATTTTTCTTAGCCATTTTGTCATTGGACGTCCCCAATATTTATACGGATTGACCCCGATACAGTTTATGAATATTTCTAGAAGTAGATAATTTTGTTATCGATGCATTAAATAAAAAAGCATATTCTATAATAAAGGTTTTGTTTTTGCATAAAACTAATGATGTTAAAAAACATTCTAACTGTAAAATTAAAATTGCTTAATGAAGAAACTTTAAAAGTTATAATTAATNTAGGAAGGGTGTTATTTTCGGGATATCATAAACGGTAATTAAAATGGCGACGAAGGAACGAGGAAAGGTATTAAACTCGGGAACTAGGTTTTGTGGCGGATGGGCAAAAGAGCGAGCCGAGGCGGTGTATATAGCCGGAGCCGAGTGGGGTCGGTCGGTGAGTTAAGTCACGAGGCGTGCGGTAGAAGTGGGAGAAAGCCGAGTTCCCAGCTACAGAATATGGCTATTATTCTCTTATTGCTATTTATCGTCGGCGCGGCCTCTCCCGCGTTTGCATTTTGTCCTTACAGATGCCTCTGCTTCCGAACCACAGTCAGATGCATGTTTTTACAATTAGAAAAAGTTCCCGAAGTAGCCGAAGATACCACTATTTTGTAAGTACCGGCCATAATCTACTAATAATCTGTATATTTTAAGAAATCTTCCTCGTTGCTTAATTTTCTTCCGACAGCCGTTCGCGCCGTATTTCCAAAGGGTTAAATGTGCAGAAAACAACTTTTTTCTACTCGGAAAATCCAAATGTCATCGTGTTTTAAATATTAAACAGATACGGTAATTGGAAGAGTAAACGGTTGGAAGGACGGAACTTATCTGCGGTTATCTTGGTCGTGGATTGATTAAGACCTTTCTTTAAATTGCGAAATTTGTGGCCGGCCGCCGGACTCGGTCAATTTTAAGAAAGTTTTCTACACTCGCTTCTGACGAAATAATTTATCGTCCATAGCGTTTTAATGCAAAACGTTTGATCGTTATTATAGTTTATGGTTATATATCTATATTCTTGCGTCAGTCGATACAATATATTTTGTGTGTCTTCGATACTTTTATAATTTCTCTAATTTATGCTGTATTTTCTCGCGTTTATAAGAATTGTCAAACGTCTGTCTCGTCGATGACTACTTTCGCCGTCTTTATCGTAAACTAGCAGACCCCGCCACGCGTTGTTGTGGCTCAAAATGTATCTATTATAAATGTATAACACTTCCCCCGTGGGGGAGAAATTTGTCGAAAAATTTCTTCTTAGTGTACATTCTCTCGACGTACCCTATTAAAACGCGATCAAAAACGCTAAAACCCGCATCTAAAATAGTATAAATAGAAGCAGAGTTCTTCAAAGCATTAATTCCGTCCATCTTCCCCCAGTGGGGGGAATTTCGACACGTGTATTATATAAAAACACGTGCGTATTCGAATGCAGCGTTGTGTCAAAATTTCAAAGGAATCGGCAGGAACAAACGAACATTACATTTTTATTTATATAGATAGATAGAAGATGATCTGCTTTAGTTCATTTTCACAGAAAAGCAAACTTAGGGCGTCGTACCTGTAGCGCCATCTGTTGGACATAAAAGCCTTAACCTAGATGATATTTTTTAATTTATACGAATGTTTAACGGAATAATATATAGCCTATGTCCACCCCGAAGTTCCATTCTAAATATTGGTGAAAGAATTTTTGAAATCGGATGGGTAGTTTCGGAGATTACCCGCTATATCCAAACTTACTTACTTACAAACATTACCTCTTTATAATATTAGTATAGATATAGATTATTCGACGAACGAATAAATAGATATTTTAATATTTTTTGTTTAACGAGTCTTCAAATTAAGACTTTAGATGAAATAGAAAAACTGTCTTGTAATATTATAAACCTATATTAAATTCTAAAAAATGCCTAAGTACTGTTTATGTTAATTTAAATAATATGGATACGCCACTTGGCTTCGTAGTTCGGAAGATAAAATATCGTTTAAGAATTATATTTTGGTCGACATAAATTGATTTTGTAATCTGTTAGTAATTACGTAAAAAACTCACCCCACGACTTTTGCAATGGAAATTATTTACTTTTTTCCATTCGAAATAAACACGAACTCGACCGACGGTGACTATAAATAATAATTTAAAATAAATATAGCGTATTGTTCCAAATATTGTTACGTTTTACTTTTCGATAATGTAATCCAATAATGTAAACGACAGTTATTTAATTTAATTTTAAAACTAACCGATATTTGTCGTAGTATTTTTGTAATTCGTCTTTGGTCGTCGACGAACGGATCTTCCGGATTGGACATCCGTTGGACCGTTGGAAGTTTCTCTCCAGCTAAATTTGACAGAATATTTTGTTATTCCGAGATTGAGTGGAATATATTCTTCTTCGGTTGTTTTTCACTAAGGATGTTGAATTTTACATTTGTAATCGATTCTATTGATTTTTGGGGTTAATCTTGGCTTTCCGTATTTGAAATATCTAATTTTGATGTCCCGCGAAGTCATAAAATATACTTCTGTAGAATAAAATAAGCGCTTTCTTCTTAATTATAAAATCATCTTTCTTTCGATTTAATCAATTGATTTCCAGTCTGAAGATTTACTTCTATTTTGCTTAAGCTGGCACCAGCATTTTAAGTAAAAGAAAGGGAAAAATTAGATACTTTGCTAATCAAAAGCGTGAATTACAAAAATATTAATGATACGCAATTTCCGCAATAGTACGATTCTAATAAAAGCGATAAAAACGAGACGAAGTATGATTTGGCCGTAAATAATTTAGAAACTATTACGAGATATTTTGATTTTTCCCAAAGTAGCGAAGAATTTTAGTTGGCTCGTTTTAACAATCTTATTTCAAATCGCAGAAAATTTTGTCATTTTTCTTTTCATTTGCATCGCTTCGAACTCCAGATGACGTTCCGAGAATCATTTCCGAAAATAGATAATCGCCCGTAACGCGCATCTATCAGAATTAGAATTCGGTCCCTTTTTCGGATAAATAAAGAGGACGAAGACGTATGAATAAAAAATGTTAGAAATTAAATTTGACGAAATGGGCTACGGACTCCTAAAATCTTATTTAATAGAACCGCACAATATTATATAATTAAAATATTGTCACGTTTTAATTAGAAGATAATGTTGTAGCGAAATAAAATTAATCAAGAAAAAACTGAAATATCGAGAACACAAACGTAAGTACCGTATTAGACCTAAATAAATAGGAACGACAATATTAAAAAATCTCGTGAATTACTGCTTTCTTTTTTCATCGCGGATGAATTTATAGATACGCGGTTGTTCATTTGATTTTAATTTTACAGTTTTATAACTCATCCACGCATTGCCGATTTTTAAAAATTTCAATCGTTGTTCGGAAATTCGAGTTAAGAAAATATTGTCGGATTAACGAAGGAAATATATTAACCCGTACATTTTCACCGAAATAATACGAGAAAGCTTCTTTTCATTTTAAAACAGGAACGACCAATTTTAAGATCTCGTAAACCGTCGAATCCCCCTTGACCTAATAACTTCCTGCAAATTTAGACTATTTTCAGACAAGGATTACTTGCCAAAACCTTTCGCATAATGTATAAAAATTTTTAATGTAAAGAACCTGTTAAATTTTGAATTTCATTTTTCAAATTATAAAATATAGTTTATTTACAAATATATTGACTTTTATATGGAATTAAAGCATTTCGTTAACTCGTTACTGTTATTTATATTATTGTTATAAATCTATATCTTTAATTACTTACGCTTTAAAACGTAAAACTAAAAATGATTAACGTTACGTCGGTCAAACTCGAAATTAACGAAACGTAAAAATTTTCATTTTAATTAAATTAGAATTTAATAACTTGTAATTTTTAAAACAATGATAATTTTTAATTTAACCATGTTTAAATAAATTAAATTAAAAATATAAGAATCTTGAGTTAACGCATACTTTATTCTGTAATTTATCACTATTATTCTATACGCCCACAGTTCATTAGCCGTATATTAATTACGGCTCTTTGGAAAAAATATTACGTATAGCATTTCGTATAAAAACAGCGATATTATAGAAATATTAAGCTACAGATCTTTACAAAGATTACATATATCAGAAAATATATTAATTTATAATTCGGCATTAACTTTATCGTATTGTGTTTAAAATGTATAGCCATAAACATAACTATATAAGAGTTGTTATTTAAAAAATGTCCGATACTAAGTTATTAATATTCTACAGTTAATAACTGTTGTGTAGGTGTAAGGGGCTAAATAAAATGAAACTGCGAGTAGATATTATTGGCTGGCAGCCACGAGAAAAAGGGCTGACTCGGCAGCGAACGAAACAGTCAACAGAACGGGCAAAGCGAGACTTCCTGTAGACGGATCAGTCTGCATTATTGTTGATTTAACCGTAAGGAACGTTACTAAAATAGAAATTTCCAATAAAGGTTTTTCCACATTTAACTTTTTTGAAAAGAAGTTTTTTGGTAGTTCCGAATCGAAATACCCTTCTTCGTGTCTAAAGGTTATATTTCACGATTCGCGGAAAGAATCTTTAATTATAAAACGAAAATTTAGAATGTTTCTTTCCGAAATATTAACGTCAAAATTATAAACGAAATAAGTTAGCATTCGAGTAAGTCATTCGAAAAATATCGCGTGGCTTACTTTTCTATAAACTCTGTTATAGTATCCCCGTATCAACTGACCGATGACGGATAGAGTGTCGAAAATACTCCAGTGGATAAAAAGAGAAAAATTTGTATATTGTAAGCTTTATAAAATAAAATAGATGTTAGCCCGCATTGTTACTCGCAGTATTTTAAACCCGCGCTTAAAATTAATAAATTCTATATTATTAAAGAATTTATTATTTTATTGCTAAAAATATACTGTATAACAAGTACTTAAATAAGTTTACGAACGTTGCCTTTATTATGACAAATCATTCTTTAATACTAAAGTAAGTAAAATAGGATAAAGAAAATAATTAACTTAAACAAAAGAAGAAATTTTAAATAAATTAAAATCAATATAATTTTACTCGATTTTCATTAACGATCAAATTTGTGTTCGTGAATACGACTTTGGAAGAGTCACGAAAATATATTCGTTTTTAAAGAACTTCGATAAAGTTTTTTGAAGACAAAAGCGCATATTTATCGTATCGATAACAAAGTCTCCTTTCAATATATATATAATAAAACACATCATCTCTACATAGTATCGTCAACCGAAGGTAATATTTACAAAAGAAAATTACATCCTGTTAAGAAAGAAATTATAAAAATCATAATTTTAAATATCTTCAAAAATCAAAGAGAAAAAATATACAATGAAAAATAATACAGGAAGTAAAAACACGAGGAGTCGTAAATTGCGCAATCTTGCTCTTTGAATTTATATTCGTCTAAAGTAGAATGAGAATCCTTCAGTAGGTTAACGAAGACGGGAAGTTTAAATCATTATTTGGATAACGCCAACAAAATAATTACGAATAAACTTAAGCGTGTCATTATAAAAATGTTTTTGACGGTTTTTAAACTTTTGCATTTGTATTTTTTCTTTCTGTATCTAGTTTTT